AAGGTTATGATTAACTTATATTTATAATTATTATGCTTGTAATTTCCTGAAAGAGTGGTTTTAGTTGTGATGGTTAGTATTTCATTTGTAAATGTTAGTGTCCTGTAACCTATTATAATTAAGTTAGACTAGTAGAATATGGGTACTTGTGTCTGACAGACTTAAAGTTAAAGCTCTTGAAATACTTTTTTCCTTTTTTATGCTTGACGTTCAAAAGTGCTTACTGTGGTCTAATTGAAATAAATGATTTTTGACTTTGACTTTTGACATCATCATTTTATCCGCTGGAAGGAAGCTTTTAATTTTGCGTATGAGTGGGCTTCACCCGCCGTGGTTGTAGCGACAGGGAGTGTCAGACTTTTACTGACTAAAAACCTCTCCAATCTTTCTTCTGTTCGGAGCCCGAGCCGCGGTACTTTATTGCATTCATTGCACTCGCACCCGCAACCCTGGCTGAACACGCAAGACAATAGTTTCATTGTGGTTACTCGAGGCTCAATCCTTCCTTCGATGGAAGTGTAAAGGATTGGGACTCCGAAAATTGGGAATTTGAATCTTTTACTCCTGAAAGTTTTGGTTTAGGTACCCATTATTAAAGACTAGATTATCAATCTATGTTTATCTGTTCAGAGGATATATATAATAAATCGTCATTAGTCGCACGCGACTTACAACGCAGGCAATCGTAACCCAACAGTAGGTACATATAACATAACTAACTAGGTAATTTTAATTTGTTGACGGAAAATATAAGTATGAATGCGGTAAGCTTGTTAATTAAAAAACGCCCAGTCGATATAATAGGTTACCCTTGAAACTTCCCTGCAGGTATCAACAATAATTAGATATAAATTCCTACCATTGTACCTAATTATAATGTTATTAAACTTACTACTTTTGCTCAGGGTCCATAATATGTACCTAGATTTAAGCCTTGCTTTGTAACATTATGGTATGCAAATAAATAAATATAAATATGAATAATTTGACTGCACGGTTTTCGCGGTGGCTGGGCAACTGGCTGCCGCGCAACGTGTCGCGGGTTCGATTCCCGCACGGAACAACTCTTTCTGTGATCCACAGATTGTTGTTCCGGGTCTGGGTGTGATGTGCATGTGAAATTGTATGTTTGTAAACGCACCCACGACACAGGAGAAAATCCTAATGTGGGGAAATTTTTTTTTTTTTTAAAGAACTAGGTTACTGTTAGGTATATAATTATTATTAATACTGAAACATTAACTTTATTAACTGAAAAACAGATTCGGCAAACAGACCGTGCATATGATAATAATAATTCATAGGTACAATGGATCAATGTTGAGTTTACAGTTCTGTTGATCAAATTGCATAAGAAATGTATAGTTATACCTCAGAATACAGAGTTTGTTCTGTATTCTGAGAGTTATACATACACAATTATGTTAAAAAATATCGTCCTCTTTTAGGTCTCTCATAAAATCTGGTTTTGCTAATATTTTTAAATGAATTTACCCGCGGTTTTAGCCTTACCCGGTACTCCTAATTATATTATCCTTTTCCATACCCCTAACTACATAATATATTGCTAGTTTTTATTACAATTTTTTGGCAATGTCTTTTTCGTCCTAAGTGAAACGAATTAAGCAATGCTTGCTTTGTAATTTAATTTTAAATCGGCAGATGTTTTTTGCATTGTTTATGTTATTGTACGGGTACACAATCTGTACACGCTACAAGAAATATTAATATTGAGTTCAGATGATATTAGCTAGTCAGGGATTGATGTTGTCAAGAGATGACTTGTCTTTAATCCACACAATTTACATGAAATGATGAAATATTAAAAGTATGTCACGATGATCACTTGATCATCTATGCTGACATTAAAAAAATGAATTACGTTGATAAAATATCAGATACATTATTACGTTCAAAATAATATTTGTGTACAGAACCCAACATACGATATTCAGATTAGTGGGCAGTGGAACAAGGGTCCGAAAATATGCATCATTTATCCTTATTGAGCTTCGATAACTTGTTGATTCGTACTTACCGATACGCAGTTTGTCTACAGAACTTGTGGAGTTTCCACAAGTTTCCATCAGTTTTGTAGTAGTACATAATCTTCTTACACAAAGTTAAAGTTCACACACGACACTCACACATACATATTTATACTTACACTTAGATATTTTTGTACGGTGATTAATATTCTTATAGAGAGGAATAATTGTTTTCACTGTTGGTGTAAAATAATTTTGTGATGTTACTTAAAGTGATAGCTGAATGTGTTTGAAGCGGTTTTTTTTTCATTAGTACCTATTAAAGAGTGAGTTTTTTATTAATATAGATATTGTGTAGTGTGATCTTAGTCTCAATGGAATATCAGATTTATAATCAGTTTTGGGATCGTAAGTTCTCATTATGTGCACTATTTGTCTGTGTATTATTGTGTGCACTATTTATCTGAGCATTTAAAGTACTTTTTGAATTTCTTTTGGTGTTTTTTCGCAGAATAGTGAGATAGAAAATGCTGGCTTCATGTATCTAGTTTTAAAATATGAATGTGTAACAGAGCTACTTATCGTTTCTTATTTATTGAAATTACTAAAAATAATGATTAAATTATGTAAGTATGTAATTGTAATATGGATTTGAAAATCTTAGCTAGGATTGTCTTGCTGTGTTCCAAAATAATTAGGACCTTTTGCGCGTTCGAGAACGTTCTGTACACATATCTACCTAGTTGGTTGTTTATCGTCTAACTGTGAAATTGGTGTTTTCTTTTGTGTTTTGTTTTTTTTTATAAGGATTGTGTAGTAAGATGCAGTGAGGTATATTAGGTGTTTCGTGTAATAGGGCTCATTCATAATAAGGATGCAATTCCTAATTTCAGGATTCAGAATAGGTAATAATTAGATTGCATGTAGTCATAACATTACAACATCTGTACTTTTTTATGTGATAGGTCGGCAAACGAGCAGACGGATTACCTGATGATAAGCAATCGGCGCCGCCCAGAACACCCGCAACAACAGAGGAGTCACGAGTGCGTTGCAGATCTTTTGGGGATTAAGGATTAGATTTTGGGATTAGGGAGGGGAAGGACTGGACCTCCGGTAACCTCACTCACACGGTGAAACACAACGCTGTGGTTGTTTCACGCTGGTTTTCTTCGAGGCCGTGGTATCACTCCGGTCGAGCCGACCCATTCATGCCGAAGCTTGGCTTTCCCACACTTGACGTTACTATAGCATACCGAATAATTGTGCAGACTGAACGTTTGATTTGAAGGTATTCCTGCTTACTCCATAATTAAAAAGTGTGATGTAATGTTAGTTATGTGTGATGATGTTATATTTTTGTATAGATTTGTCCTTTTTGTAAATAAATTCAGTGGAATATTCCGGTAAGCTTTGTTATTTAATTGATTAATTAGTGGTCCATGTTATTATCGGTGGGTAAACATATTTGTATAGGAGGCAAGTGTATCTGTGTTTTTTCAGTATTAATGCAATAATAATAGTGATAATCTGACGTTGATTAGAGAATTGCAATGATGATCGTGTAGCTGATACAGCTAATTTGTATCTCAAGTAATTTTCGAAATTATAATATGATTATTTAGTTCTAATAGGAATTTGGTTGCACGAGTTCATAAAATACCTGTCCTAATTTTTCAATTTAGCTCTCGGGTCTGCTTCTGGTCGAGCGGCGAGCTACCCTTACTCGCCGTCCGCAGACCTACGCTTATGGTGGCCGGAGATCATCTCTCGATCCCCGACGCCAGGAATGTCGCCTAATACGGCGTGAGGAGGATAGTTCCCTCAACCGTTGACACCCTGCGGCTCTTATGTAGATGACTTTGGTTTACCTGGCAGAAGACATCTCCACGCTACGTCGTATTAATTATATTTACAATTGGGAATCTGTCTGTTTCACTGTCCTTTACCTCGGCTTGATAGCAGTTAATTAAATTAAACGTAGTCACACGTTATAATGGACTAGTTAACTATTACGAGGAAGTCGTTACTGTTGTGCATTGATACTGAAATTCTAGATACAGGCTGCTCTATTTTTGTTACTGAATTATTTTTATTATTTGGTTAGCACCAAATAATATTTGGTCACGTTTAGCTTGGAAATTAATAACATGTTTATAATTCATAAATGTCCAGATCGATATAACTTTTTGAAAGGGAATCCATTTTACTAATGTCATAAAACAGTTTGTATTGGTTTTGATTTTTCCGTTAGAACTTACTATTGTTATTTCTCTTGTTGTAAATGCAACTGGTGTTTTCAAAGTTTGAACTACATTCTGTTGTTTATTGGAATATTGATTAAAGGTACCATGGTGTTTCGTGCTTCAAGAGTATTCTTGTCGTTGTTACATCCAAACTCTTCTATGGTATTATGTCTAAACTTTTCTATGTAGAATCAAAGATTTAAAACAATGGAAAAATGCAGATGGCTCATTGCACTATTGTACCATTTTGGCGTTTTGTTGAATCTGTCTCATTCATGGTAGACAGACTAGAGGATAACCTAATAACATATTTAGCAAAATAAATTAACTTTGAAAATGTTGATGTCCGAATGCATTGCCGTGTATGAGGAAACAATATTATCATTTTATTTGAAGTTTAGGTATCTTATGGTATTACTTGAGTAATTGTCTTTACAATTAAACCTTGGTCTTTATCAAGGTAAAGTTTTGGTAGGTTAGTAAGATAAAGAGATACAAAAATCTAAATGTTATCGACATGCTTACTCCTTAAGAAGAGACACTTATTTTTCGAGACACGATAACAACTAATTTCATGCATAATTCATAAGAAGCGTAACGTAGAATGTTTTGTTTTGATTGTCATCAGTTTTATGAGGTTTAATTGGGCATTGTTGACATTGTATTTTGGCTATGAATAATCGAATCACTTCAAATGTAAAATGGACAGTGTGTCATAAATCTATACATAATACTCACATACACAACTGAAGTAAAGACTGATAAGAATATTAATTCAATTCGTCTGTTTAAAACCACAGTATCATTTGCCGTGGCGGCGAGCAAACGTGACATACAGTTCTCAACCTCACACAATTGTGTACACAGTGCGTTTACATTTTACTAATATAGAGTTTGAATTCATAATTATGTATTCCCATCCCGAACAACGTCACGACGAAAATTTATTACGAAGCGCCGGACGTCTATAAAACTGTCCAACGTTATGCAAAATGGCATTGTTCGTCATTCGCACACCGCATTAAGATGTTTAACTAAACGACATCAAGACTTTACCGCGACACACTCGTGAGCTTTCGTCGTGCGCGCGCATCTAACACATTCAGCCAATCACACGGCAACATCGCTGCGAAATAACAATCACCCTGTATAGCTCGAAATTTTCAGCTTTAATTAGGAGTTTGTTTTTATTTTTTTTAGTTTTGTAGTTATTGGATTTTTGTGATATACGACGCGTTGCTAAAGTTGAATCTAAGTTTAGGTAATATGTAGCCAGTGACCGACAGTGAGTCGCTACTTGTGAAGGGAAGTGCTTATTGAGTTGTTATCGCACATTGCTCAGTGTCCTCTCTGCGTGCGTTAATGTTATAAAACAACGGGAATATACCAACAACGTGCATTTGTATAGAAACCACTGGCGTTAATTAGTATTACCTATGTGACGAACATGTTCGAAGCAAGGGCTAATCGTGTTGTGCTATTGTTGATAATAACTTTACAGTTATTTGAGTTTTGTGCGTCTCTGAAACAAGGTGATACAGGTGTTTGCGAAGATATTGTTCCGTAAGATATTTTTGTTACTGTTTTTAATTTATTTAACATAGATTTTTATTTAATTTGATCGCGTGTTCTTGAATATTACAATACTTACTAATGATTTATTTATATCATTACAATTTAAACTTAACGTTTTAAGTTACTATAGTGTATAAGCTGAGCAATTACTATGAAACACTATATAAAACGAGTAGGACAATTGATACACTACACACACAGACACACAATATAATTTACAAACCCTTACTTATTTCCTTAGTGATTTAGCCGAGTGTATAAGTTCAAATGCGACAATATGTGCCCTAAAGAAGTTACAACAGAACAAAAGAAGGTAAGGATTGGCAGGCGACCGCATCACATTGCAAGCAGTATCATAGCCGATCCAAACTCTCCTAGTACTTTGTGTGCTCCTGGTTCATGCCAATTACCATCAGTACTCGAATTGCTATACCTTACAAATTTTTGGTAAAATAACCATTAGTTAATGGTTTATATAGTTCCCGGATGTTTCTTTCGGATTGGTTATCATACTGCTACTCACACATTTACACTGTACATAATATATTCGCACTACATCACCCGCACTCATCAATCAATCATAAATAACACTATATAGATATATGTACACAATTATAACTCTCTTCCGTTCACATATTTCTTTCATCCTATTATATATCTTAAGTTAAACTTGGTAAGATAAAAAGTACATTGGAATTTGATTTCGAAATACTCTGTATACCAAAGACTTGGAAACAGTACCGGGCTTTGTTTTATATGACTAACATTATCTGGTTTTAAAAACAACGGTCTTATTCATGTTATAAAATTTGTACCCATGTATTTGTTTCTCTTTTTTATCCCAATACAGTAAGTTGTTTGTTGTTACAGAATTAGATAAAAAACAAAAATGTAACTCATTGATTCATCGTAAATGGTACTTTCCAAAACTGTTGCTGTTGTTTTCTTAAGCTCTAGTAAAAGATGCAATTTTGATTTTCTAATGGATACATAGTAAAAAACTTCCAATATTGCGGGTACAATGATCACTGATCACTTGCCAAAATCGATGCTACCATGATGCGTCCTGACTTAGTTGCCTAAATTGCATAAAAAATTTCGTCTGCCCATGAAAAAATATACTTTTCTTGTGTTAGTATTTTAGTATTTGTAACTCGTATTAGCGGAATGAAACTCACTTTCCCTTGGCCTTATCCCGAGTAGTTAAGGTCCAAAATACTGATTTATTAATTGAAGATCATACTACAATCATTTTTTTATATATTTCTATTACGATCAGTACTTTTTCACTTAGCAACCATATCACCAGGTTCCTATATTAGTGCTTATCCTACCTTTATAACGAGCAATTTTTTCTCCAACTATTACGATGACATTAATTGTACCGAAAAGTTTTTAGGGACAAAAGCAAGGAAGTTAAGTTTCATTAAAAAAATGTAGTCCTCCAGGTACTATTAACAAAATAACTATTAAAACCAATGATGTATAAAACTATAGATACGTTGTCCGCGCTCTAAAATGACAACATGAAATGAAGGCAATTGACAACATCGCGCTTAGTGTTTTTAATTTATATCGTGTGTGTAAACCTGTGCGAAACAAAGAAAGCATGTCGTCGTGTGTGTTCAGACGATGTACAAATTATACTCCAAAAGTTAAAGACAAAAATGTGTCATTTCATGCCTAAGTTCACCAAACAACCTATTTTTATTTTATTTTTTTCGACGCCGGCGCCCGCCATCTTATGGCGGCCGGTGCATGAAGGTATAGTCACGTGCCGATAGGGGAGGTTGAGACACTATTATACTAGTGTTTTTTTTTGTTGATAGAATTTATAATATTGTTTGAATATAATAATTATACTTGTTATGTTATGAATATTAATTATAAGTGGCTTAACTATTACTTATCCTGTGATGTAACTGAAGATGTATATTTATCTCCCTCTAGCAAAGGCATTCCACTATACGATGTCATATTTTCTTTCCCTTTCTTTACTCGTAGAAGTAGTTATCTAGTATTTTCGCCGTTTTTAAGCGCCGCGATGTTGGTTCATGACGTGTCTATATATAACACGTCATTGATTAAAACAATAGGTGATACGTGAGGAACTACCCTCCTCACGCCACCTTATTAGAAGACACTCAATGCATCGGGGATAACACGACGATAGCAGGATTGTCGTTAACTATCTCCACTTAATGGCTTAATGTTAATTACCCAAATCTGTCTTCTTCCGAGTTATAAGTACTTTCGTTGATTATTTAGACACCAATAACACACGGTGAAGGAGAGCATCGGAGGAAATCTGGACTTATAATTTTTAAATATAAGTTTGAAATCGCTAATTCGCCTTTAGCAAGCGTGGTTATTAATGCCCTTCTTTGTGCGAGAAGAGGCCTTTGCTCAGTAGTGGACACTTATAGGCTGAAAATTATGTGATGTAATTCCTCAAAGGAAATTTAGATATTTGTGTTTAGATGGTTCTGCTATACTATATTCCTTACTCCCTCGATTTTTCGGGACATGTGATTGGACAATAAAAATCAATAATCTATAAATGGTAGATGGAAGCGTTTTTTTTGGAGAGGATGTGTAGCAAATCTTTGCCAATTTTTAGTATTGTTCTAGGACTAAATTTCAAAAGAAAATGTCCTAAATTTTCCAAGCATTCGGAGCACTTAGATGACTAATTTTTCTATAAAATATTAATTATTTACATAAATGTGTATTGCGGATGTTCGCAGCTCATCATGTGTTGTGTCATTTGGACCATACATCCGGCTACTCAGCTATTAGATATAGTCCAATGTCATTCACTTAATAATAGACAGATTTTACAGAAATATGCGTCACTACTTTTGTGCTTTATGTCGGAGACTAGAGGGTTGCTAAATCCCAACTATTGCCCCTACTTTCCAATATTTTCTTGACAATAATAAAAAAGTTTTAGCAGAATTGGTCCAGGCGTTCTTGAGTTATGCGTTTACAAACCCATTTTGCGATTCATTTATACTGTTATACAACATGTAATCATAGAAATTCCACAAAAAAAAAGGAATTGAAAATAATAAAATTACTCTTTCAATTTATAAATATGTATACTAGCGACCTGCCCTAGCTTCCTATGAGTGAAATGCTCATACTAATTTTCTCCATTATTTCATGGATGTTATTATGCATATAAACATGTTGCTTCAATCGCTCTATCTATTTAAAGAAACCAAATCAAAATACGTTGCGTAGTTTTTAAGATTTAAGCATACATAGAGGTACCTATAGGGACAGAGAAAGCGACTGTCTAGTACTGTGTAGTGATTTGCTGCTGCGCTGGTGCATCTAATTCCAAGCATAAATACAACTGTTCTGACCCAGTATATATAGGTACATAACATATGTATATGTAGTGTACATAAGTGTTTGATGACACATGCTTAAAACTATTTTTTTTTGTTCTTTTTTCTTGTATCTGAAAACAGATTCAAAGGTATTGAATCTTTCGGTAATTATTTGGTGGTTTAATCGTATTTATGTGGGGGTATGTTAAACTAATGTACCTTTGCAAGTATTCACTATGTTTAATAAACTTTTTATTTTGTTTCCAGGGCAAGGGGGCGGATACAAAAACACGTGGTGGGTACTTTTAGTTTTGTTCAAGTAGTTAGTCTTTTGGTCTATTTTATATTAGTATTGGATAAGTGAAAACTAGCCAAGTTCAATACTTTTTCTTAGCTTACAATTTCTTGAATATTATGTATAATATCTATCACAAAAAAAGAACATAAGTTGCGTTATTTAAGAAAATATTTTGTTCAACAGAAAATTCTAAATTTTACTCAGTCAAGAACTGAATAATATTGGGAAAAAAGCCAATGTAACTGACCCACATTTCGTAGTTGCTCTTAGATTGGCGAAGGCCTACTTTTCTACTATAAATAAATAAGTCCTTTATATTTCTATTACAGACTACAGTTTGCTGCTCCAACTACGAGTATGACAGCGACCAGGACAGGTGTCTGCCGGTTTGCTACACCCCGTGCATCAACGGAACCTGCGTCGGGGTGAACGAGTGCGCGTGCACGCCCCCCCTCACCCTCTACAACAACACTATCTGCGTCCCCTCTACTTGCGACAACTGCGAGCATGGCGACTGCATGGCACCCAACGTCTGCCGCTGCCATAAAAACTATCTCATGTTAAATGGCACCTGCGTTCCAGTCTGCGACAATGTCTGCGTAAATGGAAAATGTGCAGCGCCCAACGAATGTAAATGTAACGATGGCTATAAACCTGACCCCAACGACCCTTACAATTGCATACCAATATGTGACCCTGCCTGTGAGAACGGCACTTGTGTAGCTCACAACAAGTGCATCTGCGGAGTAGGGTACGGAAGAACTAAGGACTATTGGAGATGTAAGCCTACGTGTGCTGGGTGCGAATACGGGGACTGTATCTCGCCAAATAACTGTGTCTGCTTCAATGGATACGACCGCATAGACTCGACCTGCAAGCCCAAGTGCAGTTCGTGCGTGAACGGTGACTGCGTTGCGCCTGAGGTCTGTCGATGTCACGAGGGGTACGAGCTCGTGGGTGGACATTGTTCCCCAATATGTTCTCCACCCTGTGTTAACGGAGAATGTGTGTCGCCCAATAATTGCAGCTGCAACGATGGGTACGATAGCAGGGATTTCGGTGTCTGCGAGCCTTATTGCTCCAAAAACTGTATCAATGGGCACTGCTCAGCACCCGACTTCTGCACTTGTAACGATGGTTATGTGCACGACGAGACAGATTACAGTCTATGTGTGAAACCCTGCATTAGGCCCTGCAAGAACGGACACTGCTCTCCGTCGTCTGGAGAGTGCTTCTGTGACTTAGATTTTGAATACGATAACGATACAGAGAGTTGCATACCTATGAAACCGTAAGTAAACTGACAACTAATTCTTGTATATTATTTAGTACAATTATAAAAATTAATGTATGTGGCACTTCACACATAATACTTATACGAAAGTGAAGTTACTTATTAAAATATTTTACGTGCAGTAGGTACTGCGGGATTAATTATGATTTTTTAAGTGCACCCCTTACAATATTTTCTCGTTTGTGTTGTATTTACAAACATATAATTTCACACAAATCGAATAGTAGCATGGCAGCAAGTTGCCCAGTGACTGCGCCAACCAAACAGTCTTCAAAGATTTAAAGTTACACGTGCATTGCAAGTTGCTAAAAATATAATAATTATTATGCCATTTAGATCCTATTGTTTTAATGATTTAAACTTAATGGCGAGAGTTTGCCCTTTGAAGTACACTAAAGATTAAAAAGCACTACCATGTATTTAGAAATATAATAATCATAAAACACCATGTTTTCGTTTTAGAGTTCCATGTGAAGATTGCGAGGGTAAATGCGACAATGTGACGAAGGAGTGTCGGTGCCTCAACGTGAGGCCGTGTCACTTCAATAGTGAGGATATGGAGGTACCAGCCGAAGTGGTAGCATCCGACGAAGTCAAGTATGTATTCGAACTAACCCAACATCCAAGGTTCAACAATTATTGAATAGTAACTATCGTGAGACATACCAAATTTATTGGACATCACGACTTATTCTCGTGAATTAATCGGGAAAAAACTCTACTAGTTTCAAGTCACAGCGGGACTCTTATACATGAGCAGCGTGTGCGTAGCGGTGACTTCACACTGCCAACAATAAAATAGGACAATTACGAAGTTTTACAATAATTATTTGTTGTCTTAGACTTCGTTTTTGGATTTAATTTGATTCATGATCCGCACATGCAATATTCATATATTTTCGCTAGCTGCTTACGCTCGGTTTCACCCGCTGCTCGACTTCTACAGATTGTATCGTGATGTTTTATAGCCTAGCTATAGTCCGTTATCGATAAATGTACTAATAAACACAAAAATAATTAAAGTAAATCATCCACTTACCTACATCTCCAGCTCTGGGAGCAGCGAGAGTGAGTCTCAGACTCTTACTGTCTAAAAACCTCCCTTTTCCTTCTCGTGCTCCTCTGTTCCTAGGCTGCGGTGCATTATATAGAGGAGGTTAACTTCTTTTTCAGATTCTTTGCCTAAACATTAGTGTTATACTGTTCTCACATATCAGAAATGACTAAATGATGTAACAAAGAAATGAATTGTAAAAATTATTGAAAAAGAGTAACCATGGAGTTTCTTGCTCGTTCTTCTCCATAGGAATCTACACTTTGGAAAGAGCAAATAGCTTCACTAGAGGACAGACGGACTGACTGACATGCTTAAAGTTTAAGCTCTTGAAATACTTTTTTCCTTTTTTTTTGGTTGACGTTCAAAAGTGCCTTCTGTGGTCTAATTGAAATAAATGATTTTGTCTTTGACTTTGACTTTGCAGTAACTTTTACTGGAAAAGTTGACGCCTAATATTTCCTTTTAACATTTCAGAATGGCCGGTATGAATATGACGCTGATGGCGATTGGTGGAGCCTGTCTCCTACTCCTCATTCTGGTGGTAGTCGTGATGCAAAGGCTTTGGCATAAGAGGAACGACTACACAGCTACCAAACCTACACATGAGAGTGAGTATTTTGTCATCTTTTTAAATGATTAGATATCTATCGAAATAAATGTGTGGTTATGTCCAAAGCGGTAATGGTTTAGAAAAGTGTTTCGTAAAGATAAAGAAAGGTTCTAACCTCTAACGGGTTATACACATGAAATTGTAAGTATGGCCGAATGGATGTTTTTCACGTAAAAATCAAATTTGGCATAGATATATGTGGGTAGTTTATAATTTTTACTAGATGTAGATTATACTTTTCACTCTGGTTCTGTGGGCAAAGCCGCTGGTAGCTGGGGCATTATCAATGCGAAAGTGAGTAGCTCGGGATTGATATTAGTTATGTAAAAAAAACCCAATACCGAATGTATTTTGATGAAATAAGCACAGCTAGAGATTCTCCATCCCTGTAACGCGAGCGAATGCGCTGGCAGAAGTTAGTATTACATATTTATTAAAGCAGTTGTAAATATAAAATGGATGACATTTAAAAATGTTGCATATCAAATTTATCATGAATGCTTTTGAATAGTGCGTCCTTTGTATAAATATTCGTAGAATAAAGTGTATTATGTAGCACAATCTACATATGTATTACATATTTAAAATACTTTAAACATAGATATGTAGTATAAACGTATGTTTGAAGTTTCTAGAGTTGTAATTACCAACCTGTGATGGTTGTTGGGTCAGTTTTTTATGTGATATGTCCGCAAACGAGCAGACACATTACCTAATGGTTAGCAATCAGTGCCGCCCATGGACACCTAGAACACCAGACGTTTATGGGATTAGGATTCCGGAGATTTAAGGATTGGGGAGGGATGGAGAGAGGGAAATAATTGGGCCTCCGGTAACCTGTCTCTCACGGCGAAACACAACGCTGTGGTTGTTTCACGCCGGTTTTCTGTGAGGCCGATATCACTCGGGTCGTGCCGACCCATTTCTGTCGAAGCTTGATTCTCCCACACTATTGAAAGATAATAAAATGATGAAAATTGCGATTGCAAGTTTAATATTACACGTAAAGTGAAGTTTATTATTATTTGTACAAAATTCCAGATTCCGGCTTAGGCAGTGTGGTCTACACTGTTCCCAACACACTGATCAGTCAGAGAGCTAGTGGTGGACCGATGGATGAAGACTCCGGTGACGATGACGAAACGACAGATGGATTAATACGAAGAAATACTCAACTTAGTTAGGCTGTAATGTATGTACCTGTAATTGAAGTCTTCGGTGCTTTTAGTGTAGATATTTAATTATAAGACATAAAACTGTTTTTGATAAACCTGTCTTTGAATTTTGTAGACCAGTTTCTAATCATACGTTATTTTTTTTATGTAATAAGTCGGCAAACGAGCATACGGATTACCTGATGGTAAGCAATCAACGCCACCCATGGACACCCGCAACGGAGGAGTTACGAGTGCGTTGCCGACCTTTGAGGGATTAGGGATTTGGAGATTTAGGGATTGGGGAAGGGAAATTTACGTACAATAATGTTAGAAGTTTAATTAAAAACTACTGACCCGCTCTGCTTCGCAAGGGTATTATACTCACACTAATTTATAATTTATAATAAATTTTCTCCACTATTTTATGGATGTTATTATACGTCTATAAACCTTTCTCTTTAATCATTCTATCTATTGAAAAAAATCGTTGCGTACTTTTAAAGATTTGTAGCTCACATATAGGTACAGGGTCAGAGAAGGCCTAGGAGACGCGTCAGAGAGTGTCAGACACACCATTCCAACTCCTGCATCAGGCGTGGTAACTTTTAATCGTTTATTCGCAACCCTGGCCTGGTATCGACCTTAGTGGGTCCTGTCTCGGCTTGTGAGAAAATATGGACTTGTAATTTCAAACTATATACATATTACAAGCTTAAAATCATCAGCTCACCTTGAACAAACGTGATTGATACTCATTTTTTTTTTTCACGTGAGAGGAGACTTAGGAGGAGATTATGAATGTTCTTACGATTTATTATGTTTTCGGCAGCGCGACAGTCGCCGAGTCGCGTGTCGCAGAATGCTGCTCATTAATATGGGCCTCTAGCATGGCTTGAAACTAATCGAGTATCTCGTCAAATTATTACGTGAGTAAGCCGAAAACATAATAAATAATTTAGAATGTCTCACGAAAGTTCTTACGATTGTTACGATCAATTCAATTGCAAATTACAAAACTACATAGACAATATACTATGGGACGAGAGTCAAGTACAATTGGAAAGCTATGAAATTTTTGTATTTGTTCAAAACCAAATAATGCTTTTTCCCTATTTCTTTGCTCGAGGCACTGATGACCTCGTCAGAGTCGTGGGGAGCTAATGGATGCGAATGGCGACTTGACGTTCAGCGTGAAGAGTTAAGGCGGCGACCTCTGTCGTCTTCCGACTGATCATGATGACATACTCCAACACAAGTTTTTATTAATTTAACTAGAGAATTAAGATTTTATTTTAGTACTCGATAGCACTTAAGGAGATTAGATGAAAATAAAACAAAATTAAATCACATTTATTAGTTTACTCCAGTGTTGTAGTAAAAAGTAATAACAGATTGATTAACGTGACGATGAATCATTAGGATCACTTAGTTTTTAAAGACAGTAAAAATTATACACCATAACATAACTAAATTGGTACATTAAAGTTGAAATATCGAACTCTTTTTCCTGGGCACACAGGTACAGTCAGTTGGCGGCAAACAGTACCCATGGTGGCATTTCACAGAACACTTCAGTTCATGGTTAGCATCGCAAGGGATACATTTGAAGGGGTCCTTGGGATCTAGCATAAAACCGTCATGGCATTTGCATTTATTGTATCCCACACATTGCCCACCGATACATGCTTTGTCACAGAATTTCTTGCATGTACCTTCCGATCTTATATACCCTGGGTGGCACTTGCATACGTCTGGAGCCGTACATTCTCCGTGATCACAGTTCGTGCAGGTTGGTGCAGTACAGGTGCCGTCGACCAGCGTCAGTGGGGTCTCACATACGCAGGTGTCCGCATCAATACAGGTCCCGTTGATGCACTTATTGCATGTTGGAACACACTGGTCTGTATCTGAATCATACAGATACTTATAGCAACATACTAGAGCGACGCCGACAGATCCTGTTTCATCCTGCAAATAAGAAAATGTATGTTTTTATTTTTAATGTGTTCGGTCGTTTTCTCGTCTGATGGTAAGCAATAATGTGGTGGTGGCCCGGAGGTTGCCTGGCAAGTACCAATGTGACTTTTTCCGAGTTATGTGTACTTTCTATGATTATTTAGACACCACTGACATACGGTGAAGGTAAACATATTGAAGAAACCTGGACTTATAATTTAGAACACAAACTCCGGTAAACAGTTTTTACACTCCTTAGCGGTTCTGACGAAAAACTGGAGGCGAATTGCTTCGTGCGTGTGGGATGGTGGCACCGAAATGTATGACTGATTAATGCAACCAGTTCTTTTCATTACCGAGGATGTAGGAAGCATTCAAATAAGACAGGTCTAAGTATGAAAAGGTTACGTTTTGATAAGTATCGAGGGAAGTAATTGCAGACGAGCTGCTCAAATACCGCTACTGAAATCGAAATCCCAATAATTCTTTGTTAGAATAGAAAATTAACCTGAGCCATATTCATATGAAAATAATGCAAGTAGTTAATATATTTCCATCTTAATGTTATAAAACTTCTACTTTACTAACAAGTCTAAGGACCTTGGCTGATTTTTTTTTTATTTATATAATATATTTCTTTTTTTCTATTTAATAGGTCGGCAAACGAGCAGACGGATTACCTGATGGTAAGCAATCAGCGCCGCCTATGGACACTCGCAACGGAGGAGTTACGAGTGCGTTGCCGACCTTTTAGGGATTAGGGATTTGGAGATTTAGGGATTTAGGAGGGATTGGGGGAGGGGAAGGATTGGGCCTCCGGTAACCTCACTCACACGGCGAAACACAACAGGCGGGTTTTCTGTGAAGCCGACCTATTCGTGCCGAAGCATGGCTCTCCCACACTTTCTGTTCTTGTTTGTTATGTAGTTACGTAATTATGAGTTATGGATTAATAGCGAATAGGTTTATTGCCATTATATTGGACACAGTTCTCGACTCTGACCTAGTTTCAAGTATTTTAAATCTTCAAAATTTCTGATAACACTTTTCCTGACATTAATCGAATCCAAGTCGATCACACTTGCAATCGATTAAACAAAGAAGCCATCAAGTCATTAAGTACAAAAGGTCTGCTTGACCATAAATAATAGTTAGTTATTAGTATGAGCAGCTGATACATACCTTTTCGGGTCGGACAGAATTGTGTGCAAGACGGGGCCTAAAAAAGAATAATTTAATTTAATTACACACGTATATTACCATCATTATCATCGTCATCCGCTGATAAGAAAAGCTCACTGCTAAGAAAAATCTTTTCCTTATAAAGATTAAATAAAAGTATAGAAACAACGAATGAATTCGGAACCGTATTTCCCCAGATATAGTGGATAGGATAATTCATCAATTTTCTGTTCATCATACATAATATAGGTACATGATCAGCCTATAAGTAAGTTCCTACTGCTTTGCATTACAGCAAAGGTCTCTTCTCACACGGAGCAAATTCAGCATTAATCACCACGCTTGCTCAAGGCCGATTAGCGATTTCTAACTTAAATTTCTAACTTCTTTTTATTTTGAGAATATACATTCAAGTAGGAAAACATCGTAAATTTTTTTTTATTTAAAATGTCGGCAAACGAGCATACGGATTACCTGATGGTAAGGAATCAGCGCCGCCCATGGACAATCGCAACGGAGGAGTTACGAGTGCGTTGCCGACCTTTTAGGGATTAGGGATTTGGGGATTTAGGGATTTAGGAGAGATTGGGGGAGTGGAAGGATTGGGCCTCCGGTAACCTCACTCACACGGCGAAACACAACGCTGTGGTTATTTCACGCCGGTTTTCTGTGAGGCCGTGATATCACTCCGGTCGAGCCGACCCATTCGTGCCGAAGCATAGCTCTCCCACACTTAAAAACCAAACACAAATCATAGAGTGAGAAAGCATTTTTATAATGTTTATTTATTTAACCCACGAATCTACACGCGACAGCAACGCTCAGTTACCTTATCTGTGTCCGCATTATGTATTTATAACAATGTTTCGCTTTGCCACATCCGTGCACATTCTACGAAGTTCACTCACAATCTGTTAGGCGAAAGGAAATGTTAAGACATAATTTTTGTAAGATAGCTAGCTTATTAACAATCCCAACAACTGCTCTAGTTGTTATACCCTGATCCAATATCAATATTTATTAATATAAATTTAGTTCTTTCTTAGTATATCTGTTATTCTGTTAACGGCTTGTAGGAGAGCCGTGCTTCGAACGAATATTTATGAAATAACGAAAAAAAACAAGAAAGGGGTTAATAAACCGGATTGATCTTAAATACCAGGCCTCAAAGAAAACCGACTTGAAAAAACGCTAAGTTTGCCTTGTAAATAAGGTTTTCAGAACCCCAATCCTCTTCCTTAATCTTCCTTCGCAAAACCCCAAATTCCCAATCCCCTAATAGGCCCAGAGCGCACCTTTCACGCGTTTGCAGCATAGTGCCAAAATAATAATAATAAAGAGCTCACCAAACGGATTTGTAGTGTTCCAAGCAAACGCCTTGGTCACCTTCTCTTAAACTTTGACAGAAATAAAACATCTGCATCAATAACACGGTGACAGCAAAGCATCTTGCTGTACGTGCCATCATGTTGGCAGAGGCTAGAAGTATGGGTCCAGTGCTTAGAATCTTCTTGTAGAAGGAAAAATGTGTATTATTGTATTTTTTGTTTAATTTTAAAATAATTGTCTGTTGTTCGTGAACACTCCTACTCGTTCAATCGTATAGTGTTTATAAAATAACTCATTCTCATATAGGTATAATTGTTAACTATAATAATATTAATATAAATATGAAACGGAAAAACGCGTGTCTATTTGTTTGTATATTTCTTTCATTGAATGAGTTAAACACCAGAACTAGTGGCTGTTAAAAGAAATCATTGTTTTGGGTAGTCCATTTTTCCAAGAAGGTTATATACCTACTAAACTCTGTTTTGATACTTCTTTTAGACAAAAAAAATGAAAAGCGGGAGGAGCGGCGCTGTTATATATAGTTACAACATGTATTAACACACACATACAACTACCTCATAATCATATTTCCAATTCATATCAATAACAATTAATAACGGTTTCCTGGAGATAACTTTAGTTTTAATTAGATCGATAATAACATAACTATGTAATATGGCAAGGCACGAGGCAAATGCTGTTTTAAAGGCACTCGCAAAAATTTGTCGTGGATATTTTCTGGTTTGTTGTTCAAAATGAGGGTATTCTTCATCATTATTATTTAGCAAGTGCAGCAGGAGGCCCTTCCCCTCCCCTGATCCCTCCTCAATCCCTAAATCTCCATAACCCTAATCCCTAAAAGGTCGGCAACGCACTCGAAGCTCCTCCGTTGCGCGTAGGATCGCGGATTGTCCATGAGTTACTTTATAGTAATCTGTGCTCTGCAATCTATCTTGCAATTCGTTTCAAGTTTTCTTTTACTTAGAAACTTTACAACATACCACAGATAATGGAAACGGGGAATAAAAAGAATTTTCTTTCAATCTATATTATATTAATATCTGAATTACATACGTATATGGTAAATTATTTGTTTAATCTTTCATGATCCAAGTTCTATATTTTTGAACGACAAACGAGCAGACGGATTTCCTGATGGTAGGTAAGCAATCACGCCACCCATGGACACTCCTAATATAAAAGGAGTTACTACAAGTGCGTTGCCGGTGGATTATTAGGTATTTAAGGATTGGGAATTTGAGGATTGAAGATGGGGGAAGGGGGAGACGAATTAGGCCTCTGGTAACCTAGCTTAAGTAGGTTGGTTTTCTTTGAGACCGTAGTATCATTCCGATCAGGCCGACTCATACGTGGACAAGGGTGGCTTTCCCAAACGTTTTATTGTCCAACAGAACTACCATTCTTGATATATGTTATTTTGTTATATATTTCCCTGTTTTGGTCAAAATGATTAAATTCATGAAGTCCGTTTATACTTACCTACACCCAAAAGTTGCTAATTATTTTAGTTTATATACACATAGGCTTAGGATACTTGTCCTTGATTATTACAATTAATGATTATATTGATAGATAATTTCAGTAATTGTTACGTTCTAAATTGTAGAAACAAATGTGGTTTGGGACAATCCCATAATATATTCGTGGAAACTTAAGTTTTAATGTTTATATTTACAGTTGACTTCATGGCTAACAAATTGTAGTTTTAAGAATTTTAATATTTTAGTATTACAGTTTGAAAATAACTAATAATAATGATGCTTTAACTATGAATAATATGTTCTAGTTTAGAAAATCGTCATCGAATTTAGCTTTTAGACGCATGTTACTTTAGCACTGTATCACGAATGTAACAATTTTATTTAATGTTTACCCGTAAGCTGTTTCGCAGCAGCACAAAGATCTCCCTTCCCTTCCTTCATCAGTTTTACTGTGTACAGTTACCAGTTTATAAATAACTACGCAATTTTTTTTTCACATGATATCAAAAGCCAAGATGTGAAAGATGAAAAAAAGTAATGGCTTTTACTTTTACGTGTGTGCATTTTAACTTTGCATGGAATAATGATGAGAGATGAGAGTTATGGATTTAAAAATAGTATGATGCAAACTGTAGACGCGGGCGAGCGCCTTCGCTTCAATCTCATGGCGGTGACCCGGCAAGGAGGTTTGCCATCCTTGGAGATCGCGCGATAGCCGTGGATAATGCGGAGTCAAGAAGTAGGTACAATCATGTTCAGATATGATGATTCCTGGACTATTTGTAGGCCTCTTTTATACGAGGAGGGAGGGGATATGTGGTATATATGGAAACCGGGTTGTAGATCGCAATTTAAAAGGTTCAAGTTATCCGAGACGAAAGAGCTACTGCTCTTTCATACATTATCATGTATTCCAACCCTATATGTATATTACATATACTTATACATATAAAAAAATGGTCTTAAGGTCACCGCGTTAGGGCACGCTGTTATCACAGCGGTACGATCCATCTTTAATATCTTTGAAATTTCCTCTATACCACTCTAATTAATAGAAACTTTTTACGTTAAATAGCTTATATTTCCTTCCTCATTCATTAGTAGTGTATTTTTTGTATAATATGTACTAAAAACATTTTAATTATTAATCTATGAAAATTTTATTGTATATTTATATCCTGTTCCCTGGTCTTTACTAAGTCGTTTTAAAATTAGTTTCATGTTTTAAATTACTGATAAGCATAGTTTGAAATAGTGCCTATCCATATGTTTAGGGTCTTACTTTTTGATTGGACAAATGTGTATGCAAATGAACTAGCTGCTCTCGCTCGGTTTCATCGGCAGATTCATTTGATCGTAGCGTGATGTTTTATTCAAACAAACAAACTCTACAGCTTTATATATACTAATAATATTTTAAAGAGATAAAATTTGTAAGTTTATATGTAGGTGGTAATCTTTGGAACCGCTGATCGGATGGCAAAAATTCTTTCACTGATACATAGCTACAATGTTCCTGAGTGCTATAGGCTATAAAACATTACGCTACAATCAAATGGAGCCGAGCAGCAGGTGAAACCGCGCGAGAGTAGCTAGTGATATTATTCTAACTTTTAAACTTTCGCGTTTCATCCGCGTTAATACCCACGTAAATATATTTTAGTAATAGTTATATTATAAGTTTAAGCTTTGTAATGTAATAAGATATGGGCGGAATGAAAAGGTTATTGTAGGTTGATAAATATTTCACCAAATGTTACTTGTTTCAATTAAAATCAATTCTGTTACTATAATTAGATCATCAGTTCTCAAGTTCCAACAAGATGGCTTGAGAATATTTGGGTCCTATGGGGGTTATAAACAAAATACATGCAAAACTAATCAGTTAATTACTAGTATAGAAACCAAATTAAAACTATAACCTTAAGAACGTTAAGGAGTTCCCTGTAATTAAAGGAACACAAAGCTTTTTCACTTAGATTTATATTATAATAGCATAAAAGTGTATTCTTTGTTGGGAATCCTAACAAGAAATAAAAATAAAATCTATACTTCTTTCCTTTCACGGGACCACAGGGTCCCGGACTCGGCTCCTCGTACGCCTTCCAAAGGGAAGGCGTACCTGACTAATATTGGCAAACTCAATTAATTGGCTCCCCGAAACGTCCGATAGCATATAGCGACAAATCTATACTAATATTATAAAGCTAAAGAGTTTGTTTGTTTGTTTAAATATGAAACAACTGTTTCGAATTGAACAATTCTTTTTTTGTTGGTAAGTCCATTTATCGAGGAAGGCCATATAACATCACGCTATGATCTGTAGGCGAAATCACACGAGAGAAGTTTGTATGTTAATAAAATACCAAACATTATACCTCAATGCTTAATACTATAAAAACGGCTAAAGTCAAGGATTTTCCTTGCAAATTTATCGACAGTAACAAATTTATTATATCACGTTTATATATAGATGGCTGTAACTGAAACAAATATACGTTTATAATATAGTGTCGCATATTTAACGTTTTCCCTGTGCAACGTTTATAGTTAATTGGCACTTAAATATTATTCTCCTGATGTAATCATCTTTTTATATACACCGTGTCATGTACTTAATATGATTTTCTATAACATTAACAGTCTATAAGTGAGAATTAATCACCACGCTTTGTTGAGGTGGGTTGGTGAATTCAAACTTGTAATTAGAAATTATTAATCTAGGTAACAAAACAAGCGCATATGAATGTGTTTAAAAACATCTTTAAATCATTTACTGTGTCAGTGGTGGTGTATGATAGTTTATTTTTCTTCTGATAGATTTTTTTTTATTTTTCACTTATAGCTTTAGCATAGTAACCTACTCATTGATATCAATTTATTATGACTTATTATGCATTATAGAGTCCTCCTCATCTGACTCTTTGATCAACAATATTGATGACTAAATTGCGTCATATTCTTATTTTACTTCCTTTTTTATGTGATAGGTTGGCAAACGAGCAAACGGATTATTTATTTTTTATTTATTTATTTAAGTCAGGCATCTGAGGTCCATAGAGAATACAATACATAAATATATTATAACATTAAATCATAAACTAATACATATGTTACACAAAAAACTTAAAAACTAATGCACACGAAGTGTAGGCGTCGTGTTACGCTGCGTGGTGTCGCGTAGCCATCCTCGGAACCTCCGATATACAACACCCTTCGGCCAAAACTCTTCCTTGAAGAATGTCTCGACGTGATGAGTTGGAACTCGCATCATGAACGAATTAAAGTTCGTATTGTGGCGCTACTCCAACTTCGCCACCCTCAAGGTCCAGTTGGTCTTGGATCGGACATACTCCACGATCTGCTCCACCGTCGTGGTGTGATGTAGACGGGACACGTACAAATGCGTCGTTGGTACTGCAGGACGTAGCAGGATGTTTGGTCCAGTTTGTGCAGTTCCGCACTTATTCCTATAAGTTGGCTTCTTTTTTCTCCTTTCTACCTTAATGAAGCCATCCTTGTCGCACGTGTCCTTCTTAGGACTAGTCTGTGGCTGCGATGTGCCACGGGTTTGTTTACCCCCTTTTGCTTTGGCCCGCTTTGTTTGCGTCACAGCGGGCTTGTTGCTGATGGATTACCTGATGGTAAGCAATCAGCGTCGCCCAAGGACACCCGCAACGACGGAGGAGTTACGAGTGCGTTGTCGACCTTTTGGGGATTAGGGTTTTGGAGATTTTGGGAAACGGAACGGATTGGGGTAGGTGAAGGATTGGGCCTCCGGTAACCTCACTCACACGGCGAAACACAACTCTTTGGTTATTTAAGCTGGTTTTCTGTGAGGCCGTGGTATCACTCCGGTTGAGCCGACCCATTCCTGCAGAAGCATGGCACTCCCACATCTAAAAAAATATGATTATTTGTATGCCTAAAAGAGGCTGATCATAGAGCACTGTAATTTAAAAATGTAATTTAATTTACCTATGTTGCCTATGTATCACAAATAAACTAGCTGACCAAGCGACGAGAGAATGATCGAGGTGAAATATAAACTTAAAAATACATATATCCTTAAAGATGGTTACTTACACACATTATTACTCAATAGTTTTACTTCCACATTATCACCAGTCGATAAGTGCCCTCTGCTGAGCAAAGACGTCTTCTCACACGAAGAAGGTGGCGATTACAAACTTATAACCAGAAATTCAAAAGACCCAGCTTAACAGTGATGATGATGCAAGTCTACGAGTGCGGATGCCGGGAAAACTCCTAAGATGGAGGCCTTTGTTTGGCAGTACTTAGGTAGTAAAACAAAGTAAGACAAGAAAATAATAATAATTATTATAATTTAATAGATTTAAACATATTTGTGTAGATCATGATTGCTGCGGAGCGAAAGAAACTGGGTAGCCTAAATGAACACTAGTCATGCTCGCAAAGATGGAGGCAGAGCATGTACGAGGAACTATCCAAATCTCTGAGCGTCGGGGACCGATCGATTTTCCGTTTCAAAAAAAAATATTAAAAACTATGTCTACACTTAAATACGACAGTCCTGAACGATAATACATAGCTTTCAGCAAATAAGTGCTATAATATTTTTGCATTTTTTTAATACGTAGTTCAACAGACTTGGTGTTAAGTAAACCCGGGTAGGTGATTAACTGCCTGGGTAGTAATTATTTTTATTGTTTTCACAATGAATCCCGTATATGTAATTACAGTAAACACGACTACTACTACGATATGATACCACTTTGATAACTTCTGGTAGGTACCTTGAGACAACCTGACGCCGCCCGGACCGTTTTGTGCGTGTGCACTCCTCTTGTGCGATATCGCTGGTATTTCCTGATGTTAATTAGGAAAATATATTACCTAATAATTCCTAAAACGTACATTATAATAGACATCCATACTTTATTTTAATTCAAAAGATATTTTACCAATATGAGTGTTTTTTTTTATTTTGATAGGGTTCAAAATTAAAATACCCGTATTAGTATCCATTAATGTTGAAAACAGACGATCGAATAGGTATATTAACATGAAATAATATTTAAAACAACAACACATTTTTAGCTTTGGATGTTTGGCAAGCTGAATTCAATGCGTTTAAATGTTAATATAAAAAACATCCCGTTGTTTTATAATTGGGCAATAACTAGTTAGATTTTGTATAGGATACTGTATTTCTAAGTAACACGCTAGTTAATACGTCACAATGGCGGCCTCACACACACAAAACTACATTCGAGATGACGAGAAGCGAAGATGAAGCTCTTCTGCTTATGAGAAGAATAATCATAAACAAATTAACCTGAAATAATTGCAGCGTTTTGTGTTTCGTCGAATGTTTTGTTAACTGTTTTTACGTAAGATGGTAAGCAATCAGCGCCACCCATTTACACCCGCAACAAGGAAAGGGTTACGAGTGCGTTGCCGACCTTTGAGGGTTTAGGATTTTGGGGATTTAGGGATTAGGGAAGGGAAGGATTGAGCCCCTGATAACCTCACTCGGCGAAATACAACGCTGTAGTTGTTTCACGTCATTTTTCTAAAAGGCCGTAATATCACTCCGTGTGAGTGAGGTTACCGATAAATTATATATATATATATATAGGTGCACAAAGCAAAAATTATCTGAAACATTAAACATAGACTTACACAAAAATATATATACTTAATAATACTTACTAACAATAATACTGTAAATATATAGATTTACAGTGATAATACATCATAAATATGCTATTTGATGTCATGATCGCGAAGACTCTACCAATCTCTTCAAAAGCAACTCACGAACCTTTTGTTTAAATTCGAATATCTTATGACATAACACTGTTTTTTTTTTATTATGATTTCGAATATTAAACAATGACTTTATTTGTAAAGAAAAAATATTTCAAATTGCCAGCCAGCAAATATGCGAGCCCATGTTTGAAATAATATTTTGTACTTAATTATTGTGTTTCGCCTTATGACTGCGGTTACCTGTGGCCCAATCCTTTCCATCTCCAACTTAAAATCTCCAAATCCCTAATCTCCAAAATATCGACATCGCACTCGTACCTCCTCCGTTGCTATGTCCTTGGGCGGCGCTGATTGCTTACCATCAGGTAATCAATAAGCTTGTTTGCCGTTCTATCGCATATAAAAGTAGGTCTTTAGGCCATGGTAATAAGTATGATATGTATATGTATGTAGTATGTATTATAATCATAGCAACGAGTACAAAACTTTATCAAAAACAGTCCAGTAGTTTCAATGAATATGACTTAAAAGTTTTATGAAAAACTTAGAATAGATTTTAAGTAATTTTTTTAACGCCCTACTCAGAATCATTAATTTTATGGTGACTGATACCAATATGTCGTGGTGGCCCGGACGTTTAGGCGCCTGTTTCTCATGCATGAGGGTGCGGTTTCGAAACCTGGCAATTACCAATGTGACTTTTTCTGAGTATGACTATCTAGACACCACATACGGTGAAGGAAAACATCGTGACGAAACCTGGACTTATAATTTCTAATTATAAGTTTGAAATCGCCAATCCGCCTTGAGCAAGCGTGGTGATTAATGCTCAAACCTTCTCCGTGTGAGAAGAGGCCTTTGCTCAACAGTAGGCACTCATAGGCTGATGATGTGACTGATACCAATCGTTAGCAATTGTTTTCCGAAAAAAGAGTTACAAAGAAATAGTATGATTTAATGTCATTTTATCGGCTCTCTCACCGTGTGTGCTGTTGATAGTCGAAGTTTCCTGCAGTTCTGGTTGCTTGGCTACGGAGTTACAGTAACTTAAGTCACCAAAAAATTGTAGGAGCCGTACTTGTTTTTTCGTCTACTTGATTGTGACATTCGTAAAGAAAAATTTTTATTTATTAAGTTTTATGTATTTTATTAGAAAGCTTAGTTAAGCAACACATAATTAACAAATAGTACTTTGTTAATTATACATAGAGATATTCGCAGATTACGAGCTTCCACGTTTAAATACATATTTATTTTACATTTTACAAGAAAAAAAGAAAAGAAAAGTGTGGGAGAGCCATGCTTTGGCACGAATGGGTCGGGTCGACCGGAGTGATACCACAGCGTCACAGAAAACCAGCGTGAAACAACCACAGCGTTGTGTTTCGCCGTGTGAGTGAGGTTACCGGAGGCCCAATCCTTCCCCTCCCCCAATCCCTCCTCATTCCCAAAATCTCCAAATACTTAATCCCTAAAAGGTCAGCAACGCACTCCTCCGTCGTTGCGGGTGTCCATGGGCGGCGCTGATTGCTTGCCATCAGATAACCCGTTTTAGCGTTTGCCTTTTCTATCACAAATAAAAAAAATCCTGTTTCAGGATTTACAGATCACAAAGAATTGCTTATAGTAAAGAAAGGCTAAAGCAACAAACAAAAAGATGGGAAGAGTAGTGCACTATATAGTTTTAATAATTACCTAATGAAGTAATAATATAAATCAGGATATATTTTAAATAGAAAGAAGGATGGTATCGAATGATTAAGTGTAGTCTGCACTTTCCACGCATTTACATGGCTTATGGCATTTCTAGCTTGATCTTTGAACTAGTAACGAACATTTAAACAGCCTGTAATTCCCTAAAAACGATAAAAACTATGTACCTATACAATATGTTTTATCAGTTCAGGAAAATATTGTGGTTTGTATAAAAGGTATTTTAGTTCACAAAGTCGCGGCATTACATGCGCCGTGGAGTAACGGTTGGGTTTTTATCAAGTAATTCACCATCGACCCGCGTGGTCGTTTGTGTTACAAAATGGCGAATTTAAAATTTGTATTTATATCCCTTTTGGTAAGTTTATTTTAATATTTTTTTTTTATATAACACAATGTGCCGTTCTCGTCTAAAATGCTTTTTTTGTAGTTGCCAGTAAATAGTAATCGGAATTAAAAAAAAATACCGAATAACATACAATTAGAAATATAATATGATATTTTAAAAATAATTTCGATTATAATTAATAGAATTACCTAAATCATTTTAAATCGTAATATATTCTTATTACATTAAAATATTACTGAATTGATTTTACAATTTTAATGAAGTCTTTGTGTATTTGGGTTACATTACCTATTTATGAAAACCAATCTATTTTATCAATTAGAAAAAAGAAGAAGTTTAATTATGTTCGTTTGTTTGTTTTTTTTTACATGTATATTGCATAGTTATCTATTAATATGGCAATCGTGAACGGATTTTCAAAATGTTTTTGTTCGAAGTTTTAATTAAGTACTTGTGTGGCACCAAAACCGGTTGTGACGATATGCGGGAAATCGAGAGGAACATTTAATTAGAGTACTTACACGAAAATTATGCCGGATCCATATTTTTAATTATTTAGAGCAGGTTCAGATAATAGTTAACAAAATTCAAAACATTACTTACTAGCTTCCGCACGCGGCTTTTCGCTCGCGTGGTGTTTTAATAAAAGCCAATCTATGTGTTAATCCAGGGTACCTATCAAATAGCTACATACGGAATTTTGCAAACCAAAAGAAATAGGTCCAGCCATTTTTGCGTTGAAGAATAGCAAACATATAACCATTATATACATATACATTCTCACAAAATGACACATTTATAATATTAGTAGGATAGCATACTGTAAAAACAATGTAACAAATAGGATATATAAAAAAAAAATGAATTGTCTCTTGTTCCCAACGCTCAACTCCTACGTGTAGAGAGGCAAATTAAACTATTTCAGAATTTGACTCACCATTGATAAGGAAAAGGTCAAATACATACCTACACTTAGTTGCAATTACATATATGTATATGTATTTATAACATTAGTTTACATACATTTTATAATATAACTGATATAATGTAATGAAGTAGGTATGTACCTACATTACCGTTCAAAATAATTTAGCCACACAAAAATGCTTTTATTTCAATTCGATCTTTTTACTTGTATATTAACTACACGACAATAATGTTATTGATTTTGGCTTAATTTTTTTATTACAATATAGATTGCAGTATTTACAATATACACTACAGTTTTTAAAAGAGGTAATTTCATTTTTATTCTACATCTCCGATGATTTTGATATTTGAAATTAGTAGCAATTTTGCTTAACATTGACAAATGAAGTTAAAAGTAAAACTTATTTTTTTTTGTTTGTGAGGGGAAAATCATCAAATGACTTTTCCCGCCCAGGGCCGGGCAGGAGGGAGTGTCAGACTCTTACTGACTAAAAACCCCCCTGTTCCTTCTCCTGCTCTATGCTGAGGTCGCGGTGCCTCATTGCGCTTACCCCGCAACCCCGGCTGAACATCAGCCCTTTAGGGACCCGTCTGTGGTGGTCTAATGGCTCTTTGAGGCGCGCGCGGAACGCTACGCGCCGTACGCTCGGGCCTGGTTCTGGTCGGGCGGCGAGCTGCCCTTACTCGCCGACCGCAGGCCCGTGCTTACGGGGGCCGGAGATCGTCCCTTGATCCCCGACGCCCGTAGTGTCGCCAGTTGCGGCTGCTGGGGCGTGAGGAGGAGGATTGCTCCGTCACGCGGGCCGCCTCTCTCTTTGCGAGCATGACTGCTTCACAAAAGGAGGAGACGGCGTCCCAGTTCCTCTCACTCCGCACCATGGCCTCGACTAAGGCCGGGCGCGAGAGGTCGTCGCCGCCGATCACTTCCCTGAGGATACGGCGGTGCTCAGCCCAGGCAGGGCATACCGCTACCGTATCCTCTAGGTGGTCCTCACAATGACGACACTCGGGCGTTTCCTCCCGCTGGATCCGAAACAGGAACCTACCGAAGCTGCCGTGCCCGGTAAGCACCTGCTTCAGACGGAAGGTGAGGACGCCGTGGCGTCTCTCAAGCCACTCCTCAAAGAGGGGTCTTACCGCTGCTATAGTAGCGTGCCCGGCCCTCGGTTGCGACAGTCGTTGTTTCCACTCTGCCATGAGATCTCGCCGGAGCTCATTCCGCCACGCACTAATTTGGCGTGGCAGAGGATCTTCGCCGCGGCGACGCGCGTCTGCGCGCAAACTGTAGACGCGCGCGAGCGCCTTCGCTTCTAGATCCCACGACGGTGATTCGGCAAGGAGGTCCGCCGCCTCCCCGGAGATCGTGCGATATCCGCGGATTATTCGGATGGCCATGACCCTCTGGGACGCGACCAGCGTACGAGCCGGCCGCCGCTTCAAGTCCGGCGCCCACACACGGGCACCGTAGAGGGCCATGGATCGCACAATCCCCATATACAACCTCCGGCAGGAGGCGTTTGGCCCTCCGAGGTTGGGAAGGAGCCGCTTGAGCGCGGCCCCAGACCGTTCCAACTTAGGGGCCAAACGACGAAAATGCTCCGTGAAGTTCCATCGGCTGTCGAGGACGAGACCCAGGTACTTCATCGCCGACTCGACGCCGATGGTAACTCCTCCTGCCGTTATTTGGGACCCACCTGGAGGTGGCGCGTTCCGACGGCCATAGAAACACATGGCCTCGGACTTGTGGAGCGCCACCTCGAGTCCCAGCTGCCGGATCCTTGCAACGACTGTCGCAACCGCTTGTGACATCAGGTCGGCCGCCGCCTGATGCGACCTCCCGTTCGCCAGCACCAGCGTGTCGTCAGCATAACAGACAATGCTGACGCCGCTCGGGAGGTCGGTGCGTAGCACCCAATCGTACCCGATGTTCCACAGGAGAGGTCCCAGGACCGATCCCTGTGGGACACCGCGCGACACCTCTCGCCGATTCCACACGCCCCGGTGACCGGGGTAGATGACGCATCTGTCCGTCAAGTAAGCCTCGACTACACGACGGAGATAGGCAGGCACCCGGTGATACCGGAGTGCCTCCAGAATGCAGCTCCAGGGCAACGAATTGAAGGCGTTGGCGATGTCCAGAGACACCGCCACGACGACTCGCCCCATGGCCAACGCAGTCCCCGTCGTGAGGTCCCCCACGCGCATGATGGCATCCACCGTGGAATAGGTAACAGGGTTAAGAAGGTTGTTGTGGTTTGCGAAAAGATGAAACACACAATGAAAAAAAAACGAAAACAAACAACAAGGGGGATAGAGATCAATTGATAATGATCCGTATTACCAAGATTGAAAGCTTAAATTGTTTCTCATTTCATTTACAGGCCATAAACTACATTACTGCGACAACAATTGAGGTGGACGATGAAAATCTGAAATTTATGTAAGTTTTTTTTATTTAGTATTAATTACGTTGTGATGGCTCCGAGGTGAAAGCACCCGCTTCTCATGCATCAAACAATGAATTTTGCTAACAGGCCTTAAAACGGCACTTTTACACGTCAAATTATATGTAAAAAATTAGATGAAGCCGGCATAGGAAATGCCGGCTTCATCTAATTTTTCTGAATACTCTGAGAAGAAATGTCGAAACAAACTCAGAGGTCCGTCTCTTTTCATTTTCATGAGCGTGCGGTTTCGAAATATGGCAAGTACCAATGTGACTTTATCCGACTTATTACTAGCTATGATTATTTATACACCACTGACATACGGTGAAGGTTATCATCATGAGAAAACCTGGAATTAATTTCAAATTGAAAGTTTGAATTCGCCAATCCGCCTTGAACAAGCATGGTGATTTCTCCGTGTGAGAAGCGGCCTTTGCTCAACAGTAAGCACTTATAGGCAAGTCCAGGTTTTCTTACGATGTTTCACTTCACCGTAAGTCAGTGGTGTCAAAATAATTTTAGAAAGTACATATAAACTCGAAGACAATCACATTGGTAGCTTCAAATCTATAAGTGTATAAAGCGAAGCACACAACTTAACCTCCGGGCCACCACGATTACAATTATTTATTTTATTTAACCACCCTGTATAGAAGGCTGTAGGTACGGTTCCGTGTGATGTTTTTTTTTCCAAATTAGATCAGTCTGGCAAGTCTTCCTTATAACAAAAGCTCTTAATGTATATATTTGTTATGGTCAAACAAATATATACATTAAGAGCAAATGATCCACTTCCTATTGAGTCCAAATATTTTAATTATAACAAAAGTAAAGTACTCCTTTCTACTTAAGTGTAACGTGATAAATTGACACACAAAAAACTCACGTACACAAACACTCACATACATAACACTTATATACACACAAGCAGTTTACAAATCTTGAAGTGTAAATGCTCACTATGCTCTTCAATGCCACTTTTATTTAGCGTTAATAACTTATAATAAAAAACTTGGTGCTTTAAAAAAAACACTGCCTCTCTTGTTCAGAGTCGGACCGCCTTACATTATTTACAGATCGTCATAATCGATATATATAAAAATGGATCGCAAAATGTGTTAGTAAGCCCATAACTCAACAATGTCTGGACCAATTTTGCTAATATTTTGTTTGTTATGTCCATTATTGTCAGGAGAAGGTTCTTATCAAAGAAAACATATGAAAAGTAGAGGGGAAGATTGGGAAAAAGTGATCCTTTGATAGTGAGATAGTTGGACCCGTGCGAAGCGGGGGCGGGCCGCTAGTAATACATAAACAGCACAATGCAACAAATAACAATTTGTTTTTTTTTTGCAGAGATAATTCAGCTGACGTTATCTGCGCATGTTCGAGGTAATTATAAATTATTTACAAGAAATAATTTTGTATTAAAAACGTTTTGGAAACGCGTCTCTTTTATATCTGTAGTTTCATAAATATTTTGTTTAACTATTTTAATATAATTCGCATTTCAAAATATAAAGTTAAGCGAAGAAATGTTTTTGTCTTTGATGACCCTTAAATAAATACTCATTCGTCAATGTTTTTTTGTTTTTCAGTCATCCGATAAAGGACATGAACGTAAGTTACCTAATCATTTATTCGTTATTATTTTAAATTGTGTTATAAATACATTTACCAACTATATATATTCGTGCTATATACATAAAAAATACATGTTACATAAATGACATTATTTCTTTATTTAAACAGATTTTAATAAAATTGTGTTGTAAAAAATAAAAATATAACGTGCGCATAGGTATCATCAAATCAATTCGACAACGGTGGCTTATCGAGGCACAGTAAATCCAGCTAATAGTTAATTACAATTCTTAAAGGTCTCATACATAAATTTAACTAATCTAGTTAAATTTTACTTTATTTCCAAGAAACCTTTATTCTGACTAATTTTACAACATTTGTTATAGATCACTGCTAAATCGCACCCTTTTAATTAAAGTTAAAAAAATATAATATCATGAAACATTGTAATTTAAAAATAAAAATATTTTGCAAGTGTGAACAACGTTTCTATTATTGAATTCCTACTACAGTGTTTATTGGAATAAATTTCCTCATATCGATAACATGATCGTTAATTACCCTATTTTTAATTACAAGCCATTTTTAAATTAGCTTCACGTTTCGAGTCACATTACAAATGTTATTGTTTAAAATATGGTGCAAGGGTTCACGTTCTATTTTATGTTCTAGAAAGAAATAAATAAACAAAGAAAAATAAATTATTTGTAAGATAAAGATAAAGATATGTACAATAATTATAAATAAAAAGTAATATAAATATTAAAAAAAAATACTTTTATAACTTGTGTTATACTTTATAAATATTATATATTTTTGCCTTTTCCCGCGAAAGCGTAGAATTTAATTAATAGTGTTGTCAACACGCCATTCATTATTATGTAGGTAAACCTCATCTCGTGTTTTTGTCTGATAGTCATTGTTTTTTTTTACAGTGCACGTCAGAGGTACCGTTCTACAAATTAGGATCTACAATGTGAGTATATAATCAGTAAAAACGGCTTAATTTTATCGTATTGTATCATTTATCTTGTGGGAACAAATTAAATATAGCTTAAAAATATGAGTAAAGTTTAAAAAATATTTTATTATTTAGTCTAAGCAAATGCTCCTATCAAACAAGGTACATGGTGGCTGGAGACTGTAGACTAGGTGAACATATATTTAAAAAGTGGAGACACTGCCCGATCACTGAAAAGTATAGTTTCGTAGAGTAGTTACCAGTGTATGACGGCCTTTTGGGGACTAGAGTTTCGCAAATTTAAGGATTAAGAAAGAGGAAGGACTGACTGTCACGCATACAACGCTGTCGTTGTTTCACGCCAGTCCTGTAGGGCCGTAGCATCACTCCGCTCGAGCCGACCCATTCATGCCGCAGCATGGTTCTCCCACACGTAGTTACTTGATTGAGTGTGGGACAGTCATGCTTTATTGACACCCCGGTCTCACACAAAATCGGCGTCACAAATCATTCAATGACTTTTCCCGCCCTGTGTGTTGCGAGAGACAGGGAGAGAATGTCAGTCACTTACTGACTTAAAATCAGTTACATACTACCACCCAGTTACTTCTCTTGCGCCGAGACGAGGCCGCGGTATATTATTGTGCTTGCACCCTTGCTTAGTCAATTCATTAATTAATGTTCATCGAAGATTCTTAAGTTTTAATTAACTGGTTCGAAGCATTAATAAAATTCATCATTTCATCTCATACCATTTATATGTTTCAGGCATACCAGTATTGATAATTTTTGCGAAAGCTACAAGTAAGTACCTTTTTAGTTTCTAAAGTATTTCAAATATTCGAGAATTATCTTCAGAACAAATTTATCATTTTATCTAAAATACTTTCATGTACTTTTCAGAAATATCAAAGCACACATATATGGAGCATCAAAAAACACCACAGTACTTGAAGGAACCAGTGGTGGAACATCTACCGGTTCAAGCGACACTGGCGCAACTAATTCGTCGACAGGAGCTAAAGGAACCAGTGGTGGAACATCTACCGGTTCAAGCGACACCGGTGCAACTAATTCGTCGACAGGAGCTAAAGGAATCAGTGGTGGAACATCTACCAGTTCCAGCGACACCGGTGCAACTAATTCGTCTACAGGAGCTAAAGGAACCAGTGGTGGAACATCTACTGGTTCAAGCGACACCGGCGCAACTAATTCGTCGACAGGAGCTAAAGGAACCAGTGCTGGAACATCTACTGGTTCAAGCGACACGGGCGCAACTAATTCGTCGACAGGAGCTAAAGGAATCAGTGGTGGAACATCTACCGGTTCAAGCGACACCGGCGCAACTAATTCGTCGACAGGAGCTAAAGGAATCAGTGGTGGAACATCTACCGGTTCCAGCGACACCGGTGCAACTAATTCGTCTACAGGAGCTAAAGGAACCAGTGGTGGAACATCTACTGGTTCAAGCGACACCGGCGCAACTAATTCGTCGACAGGAGCTAAAGGAATCAGTGGTGGAATATCTACCGGTTCAAGCGACACCGGTGCAACTAATTCGTCGACAGGAGCTAAAGGAACCAGTGGTGGAACATCTACCGGTTCAAGCGACACCGGCGCAACTAATTCGTCGACAGGAGCTAAAGGAAGCATTAGTGGAACATCTACCGGTTCAAGCGACACCGGTGCAACTAATTCGTCTACAGGAGCTAAAGGAACCAGTGGTGGAACATCTACTGGTTCAAGCGACACCGGTGCAACTAATTCGTCGACAGGAGCTAAAGGAACCAGTGGTGGAACATCTACTGGTTCAAGCGACACTGGCGCAACTAATTCGTCGACAGGAGCTAAAGGAACCAGTGGTGGAACATCTACCGGTTCAAGCGACACCGGTGCAACTAATTCGTCGACAGGAGCTGAAGGAACCAGTGGTGGAACATCTACTGGTTCAAGCGACACCGGCGCAACTAATTCGTCGACAGGAGCTAAAGGAATCAGTGGTGGAACATCTACCGGTTCCAGCGACACCGGTGCAACTAATTCATCCACAGGAGCTAAAGGAAGCAGTAGTGGAACATCTACCGGTTCAAGCGACACCGGTACAACTAATTCGTCGACAGGAGCTAAAGGAAGCAGTAGTGGAACATCTACCGGTTCAAGCGACACCGGTACAACTAATTCGTCGACAGGAGCTAAAGGAAGCAGTAGTGGAACATCTACCGATTCAAGCGACACGAGCGCAACTAATTCATCCACAGGAGCTAAAGGAAGCAGGGGTGGAACATCTACCAATTCAGCCGACAAGAAGGGAAAAACGCGAGTTCCACCTAAAGAAGTTGTTGAAAAGTAAGTACTATATTACATAAACATGTCAGGCAGATATATTTTTTTTATAATAACTATCGTGAGACATACTAAATTAACTAAAATTCGCGGGTTACTCACGTGTACATGTTGAGAAAAGCTCTACTAGTTTCGAACCACAGAGGGGTTCTTCCTCATGAGCAGCGTGCGCGGACGCGGCGACGTCGCGCAGCCTACTTGCCTGCGAGCTTTTCTCAACATGTACACGTGAGTAACCCGCGAATTTTAGTTAAGATATATTTTTTATTTCTTAGACTATATTTGACGGTTTGAAAGCACTATTGTTCACAAAGATTTTTTTTTCAGGGGTGGAAAAGCAGGTCAATTGACAAATAATGGGGATCCGAAGAAGTATTCGTTGGCAACACTGCTAATAATACTGTTTTGCTCATTTGGAGCTGGATTGCTCGTTGCTTTTGCAGCTAAAACGGGATATGACCACTACAAAACACGATCATTTGGTATGTAATTCAATGACTATTTCTTCAAAAATTTGAATAAATCGGTTAAGCAAATTTATTGTAATTGGCACTACAATTTGTAACAGTCCTGAATTTGTAATTTGTTCTTCTACATCCAAACAATTGTTCTGACTGTCTTAGAATTGCAAGTAGTTTGCCTAAGTTGGTGTATGAGTAGTAAAAGAAGGGTTATGTCAAACTAAAATTGGAAATCTTACCTTAGGGGGTGTCCGCAACCAGGCATAAGGGGAAAATACGTGGTGAAGAAACAGAAGAGGGTCCTGTCATCGTCAAAGGTGTAGCATGACTGATCACCAAATGTCTCACTTGCATTAACCATTTTGTCATTTTCATAAGTTGCAATTTGAATCTCTTTATAAACATGCCTGCATCTCTTTGATGTCATAGGAAGAGGCTTTTATGCTGACAGTCTCATCTACTATCGAGATTTTTGATATCGTAAAAACCATAACTCGGTTCTTGGGGACTACAAATTTCATTTGTTTTTGAATCAAGCTCTGGTTGCGCTTTTAAATATTACAAAGCTTGGATTAATTGACATTTACAACAAGATTATTCTACTCGATTGTTTATTCAATTTGACATTTTGCTTTTGTTTCAGTGATCCCGCCTGAACAGGATATACCAATATAGAATAGGCCCTCAAATAATTGTAATTTAGGTATTTGTAGTTGAAATAAACATAACGGGTTGTTTCTTGTTCTCTTTGTTGTTGTCTTGAAAACTTATCCCTTCATTCAATATACCAAAACTTATAATTGTTCAGAGTTTAACAAAAATTTTGTTGTTATCTTTATCAAAATTAACAATTTGCTGTATAGATTTTTGAACTCAGTTATATCAATTGGGCGGATTGTGTCGTTCTATAACATATTATATTGGGAAAGCGATCGTCCGTTATTTTTATGTGTATTATCTTGGGCGGAACCAATTAATTGTAAATAATTATTGTGCCAATAAGCTTGATGTCATGATTGACCGACCAGCAAACTGAACATGATGGCTGGGTTGGGCTGCTGGCTGCTGTGCAACGTGTCTTAATGGAATTAGTTTTCGCACAGTTTTCGTAATCTTAACGTGATCCATAAATTGTGGTTCTAGGTCTAGGTGTATTTTAATTTAATTTAATTGGGTATTGGGCATTTGAATTATTCTAATGCTAATTCTCATGAGCCTTATATCTGATGCGGCTGGCCACATTACCCTCGTGGTTAGTTAAGCTACTATTGACTTGGCTTCTGGTGGGAAATTATAATTGGTATTTGTATGTTTAAATATTTTTTAAATTTGTAAAGTTTTTGTAAATAAACGAAATATTAAACGATTCAAATGATGCCTTATTTTATTACGGTGGTGTAAATCGAGCAGCAAGCGTAACTGCTGAATGGTGTCAGTCAGCGAGTTGAAAACGGTATGATAGAGCACGAATATGTCTGAACGAAGACCTGAGGGCCTACCATGACGTGTTAAAGCGTGAATATTTCGGGCGAGAAAGAGGGATGGAGCTATACACCTTTTATGTAGGCCCTCTGCTTAATAGATCACGCTAAATGACTCGAAACCGAAATTTTGACGGTAAAAGCCTTTTTTTCTCAGGGGAAAATCATCAAATGACTTCTCCCGCCCAGGGTAAGACGAGAGACAATGTCAGACTCTTACTGACTAAAAACCCCTCCGGTTCCTTTTATTGCTCTGGGCCGAGGCCTCGGGGTTGCGGGTTAAACACAATGAGTCATTATTTCGCTTAAACCCCGGCTGAAGACGGCTAAAGCCTGCCAATTGTCAGTGTATTTGTGGATTAAGGACGATTATGTCTGAAACTCTGATATTAAATATATATCTAAATAAGATGTGGGGTTCAATTCACCCACGGAACAACACTTTGTGTTTTGTGTATGTGATAGTTCGGCGAACAAGCAAAACGATACCTGATGGTAAGCAATCAGCGTCGCCCTTGGACACCCGCAACAGAGGAGTTTTGAGTGCGTTGCTAACGTTTAGGGGATTAGGAATTTGGACACTTAGGGATTGGGAAGGGATTTGGGGAGGGGAAGGATTTGGCCTCCGGTAACCTCACTCACACGGCGAAACACAACGCTGTGGTTTTCTGTAACGCCGTGATATCACTAACCATTCGTGCCAAAGCATGGACCATAAACAGTTAAGTGTTGATCATTTGTGTGATCCACAAATTGTTGTTTCGGGTCTGTGTGGCTGAGAATATGTATGTTTGTAAACCCGTCACAACAGAAAATCCTAGCGTATGACAGGGTTTTAATAAAAGAAAAAGAAAGAGAAAAAAAGGTACAAACAGAAAGGTGAAATGGTGCAGAAACACGGGCCTCAAACAAGTACCACACCACCACAGATTGGCCTATAGAAAACAGAATATATAGTATAATTAATTTATTTACAAGAAGCATGTTACAGAAAGATCTTAAAGCTAGACAGTAAACTTATTATAAGGGCCGATGTCCACGTCCAGCCTGTGCAAGCACAATAATGTACTGCAAACCCGCCCCGACTGGAGAAAGAAGAGGGTAGTGTTTATTCAGTAAGAAGCGGACACACCCTTTAGGACTAGGAAAAGTACTATTGACTTTGCATATTTTATGTAATGTCAATATTTTTTCCAACTTTCAAGCCACTTTTACATGTTAATTTTTGCTAAAATTAGATCATTATAGGATGAGACATACTGCACTCCGTCATAGTTAAAGGATAGGCAGCTGAGGGTTCATGTAAATGGTTTTAACTCACAGGGCTCTAAAATAAGAATGGGCGTTCCGCAGGGTTCAATATTGGGTCCATTTCTCTTTCTAGTGTACACATGTTAATGACTTGCCATTTCTATTTAATACTGAACCAAGAATGGTGCCGTTTGCAGATGATGCCTCATCAATTTGTAAAATAGGTCGAAGTGCTGATAGTTTTGACGAAGTAAACAGCTCCAGCCGCCAAGTTCATATCTGGTGTACAGCACTTTAATTTAGCGCTTAAAGAGAAAAAAAAATGTATTAAATTTAGCTTGTCCGACGTACGTAGTAATGATTGTGACATAATTTTAAATGGGCAAAAGTTAGAATTTATTTATTTTTACGACTTGTCTATGCAGTGTTCTCACACAAGCGTACAATAATGTATACTAAATGTCATATTACTGAAATTGTAAAACAAATATTATTTTTATAAAAGAGTAACGGTGGAGTTTCTGGCTTGTTCTTTTCCATTTGAATCTACAATTTGGAACGAGCACTTAACTTCACTGACGAATGGACTGACAAACTCGTATTTTATTTTGACGTTTTAAAAGAGATTTTGACTTTGACTTTGACTACTATCGACAGTAACCCTATTTACAAAAATATTCTTTGTTTCATTGTTTCATAAACTAAACATGCCATAGCGCTTTCCTAAGTATTTACCATTTTTATAGATTATACAAAATTAAAGTTTAAAGAAAAATATGTACTAGTTAATTGCTCCATAGCAAGGGATGCTTTTTTATTGGAATCATTTCACCACATTTACAGACTCTACATATATGAAAACCTCTGTATCTAGGACACAATTTTTTTTTCATCTATTATGCTGTAATAATACATAACAATTAAGCTAAAAATGTAAATGTTAAGTTAGTAGATAATTCAGTTAGAATCTCACATTTTGGTTACTTAGTTACTTTACTTTTTGGGAGATTAATTATAATTACTTCTTTTGCCAGGAGGGAGATGGGGCTAAAAGAAATATTAGACTCTTACTGACTGAAAACATCCCATATTATTCTCAACGGCTCCTGGTCACATTGTGGCAGCATCTGGCTTTTTTGGCCATACATTTGGGTTTGGTTTTGCACGATATAGGATTGCGCGACCCCCAACGATCGGACTGTTTCCTGCGCAAGCTGGGACGTGAGGATGATACATATCAAGGGACGATCTCCGGCCACCGTAAGCACGGGTCTGCGGTTGGCGAGTAAGGGCAGCTCGCCGCCCGACCAGAACCAGGCCCGAGCGTACGGCGCGTAGCGTTCCGCGTGCGCCTCAAAGAGCCAATAGATCACCACAGACGGGTCCCTAAAGGGCTGATGTTCAGCCGGGGTTGCGGGGTAAGCGCAACGAGGCACCGCGACCTCGGCCCAGAGCAGGAGAAGGAACAGGGAGGTTTTTAGTCAGTAAGAGTCTGACACTCCCTCCCGCCCGGCCCTGGGCGGGAGAAGTCATTTGATGATATTTCCCTCACAAAAAAAAATCTCATTAAACTGGCGGGAAATAACAACGAGCAGATAGAATACTTGATGAGATGCAATCAGAGCCGCCCAAACAATGGAGGAGTGCGTTGCTGAACTTTTAGGGATTTGGGTTTTAGGTATTCAGGGATTGGGATGGGGAAGTATTGGCATCCGGTAACCTCACTCACTCGGCGAAACACAACGCTGTGGTTATTTCATGCCGGTTTACTGTGAGGCCTTGGTCATCTCTCAGGTGGGTAAAGTCGACCGACCGCAAAAAAATATTAATTTAAAGTGGCAATTACTATTTTCGTTGTATCAAAACGACTTTACCATAAAATCAAGTTTACTAAACGAACGCTATTACAACAATGCACAATCTACCAACTAATTATATCTGATTTCTAATTGAAAAATTGTACCAAATAAACAAATAATTTTTGTGGAGTTTGTAAAGTCGCATATCCCTAAATCTCCAAATCCCTAATCTCTAAAAGGTCGGCAACACCCTCGTAACTCTTCCGTTGCGAGTGTCCATGGGCGGTGCTGATTGCTTACCATCAGGTACCGCCTACTCGTTTGCCGACTTATTACATAAAAAAAATATGTATAACTTAGCAAGCGAAACCGCGGGCGGAATCTACTTACTTATTCACATGATTAGGACGTTAATCTTTGGAGATTAGTTAAAACATTTTCCTAATTAACACGTGCACGTTGTTTCTTTCTTTATCAGAAACGGAATGAGGAAACCTTTGGGTATCTGCCGGAAATCTATATTTAGTGGGCAAAAATGTATATGAACTTATTTATTGGCAAAACAACGTTCATTTTTCAGGAGAGCGGTGCAGCACATACATCATGGGTGTGTGCACAATACCCAAAATGTATTTATTTAACATTTTATTATTTACTTTATCGGTAAGTCAAGTTTTTACTAGTTATACATAAACAATTTTTTTTTATTTAATAGGTCGGCAAACTAGCAGACGTATTACCAATCAGTAAGCAATCAGTGCTGCCAAACTACACAGGTACAGTTTATCAGTTGCAGAAAAATAATTCAAGTCCCTACTTACATAATTTTTTTTCCATGAAATTATGAAAGCCCAGTAGCTTAACGGTATTTTCAATTATAACGTTTAAGTTTTGTATGCAGTTGCAATCAATTTTTAGAAGATTTCTAACTTTCTCTTCTGAATTGGTTTAGCGTGTCGATTCAAATCTTGCACGCAATTAGTATTTTTGTGATGTGATTATTGTGTGAAAATAATTAACACCTACTGTACAATAGAGAAGAGAATGCAACTGTGATCTGTTTTTAATTCAAGAAAAATCTATTTCAGTTTCTTAACGATGATGCGGAGAAACTTGTTGGTGCCCTCGATTCCAATGAGTAAGCATGTGTTTTACATTTAACTTACCTAAACTGTTTATACAAAATAAATTTAGTTTGTTCAAGAGTATCCACAGAGTGTAAAACAAAAACAAAATATGAAAAAAAAAACGTGGGTCGATATTACAACCAGAGGGAAGACTGTAGTTATTGACAGACTCTTTACTTATTAAATATCTCCTTTTTTATTTATTACTTACACACGGTTTCTGAAAGGCTTGTCAACGCTAAAATTGTTGAAAGTTGTTGATAATTCAGTCAACCAATCAGATGACTTAACAAGAGATTAAATTGATTTTAACATTGACCGGCCTTTCGGAAACCGGGTGTTAATATTTTAATTATAATAGTTTATGGTTACGTTTATTTTGTTCACAGTTTTGTATTAAGAATTGAACTAAATGGCTGCATCTGTTCTAAGTAAGTCTATCTTTATTTTAGATATACTAGAACAACAATGTATGATATTTTTATTGTTTTATTAAGTAATAGCAAGTCTCCCCGGCTCCGCACGTGTGCAATGGGGATACAAAATTTGTCTACTATTTAATGATGTTATTATACATATATAACTTTCTCTACAATCACTCTGTCTAGTAAAAAGCGCGTCAAAATCCGGTGCATTGTTTTAAAGATTTCACCATACATTCCCTGCGTATAGGGACAGAGAAAGCGACAAATTTTTACTTTTTGAATGAAATTG